GTATTAAGTACGTCTTTTTCAATACTTATTACTGCCAAGTTACTAAGTCGTTCTTGAGTCATTGAGGTTCTCAAGTATGTAAGAATTAATGTCAGCTTGCTGAAGGACCTTTCACAACTAGCAATAGAAACCTCAATTGTTAACAAAATCAGCAATGCAATTCTTAAACTTGGGAAAACATCTTCACCATATGAAATTATAAATATTAGCAAATCAGTTGCAACCATTGGTTCAGGAAAATCGGTCTGTGTTCTTTTACTTATCAACATTCTATAGTCTTTAATTTCTCTGTAAAATTCTGGTACATCAATATCACCTGAATAGCTATTTACTAAGTCAGAACATTTTTCTTGCAATTTTCCGTCTTCGAAATTTCCAGAAACAATATTTTCCACATCTAGTAGAAATCCAAACCGTGAATCTAAATCTAGTAAGCGAGAAAATCTTCCTGTTATTTCTGTAATCAAGCGATCAATAACATCCTTCATGATACGATAAATTTCCTGCTCAGCAGTCAATCCAGCATCAGCTGCATTTGCACCTGGCATTCGTTTACGACGTATTTTACTTCTTTCAATGGTCAATCCCCATGTTTTACAATGATTCTTGTCCACTTTAAGTGCTTCTTGGCAGGACTTTTCACATGATTCTATCAATTTCTCTTTCAAAGAATCAAGATCAGCTGCTTCTCTAAAATTCATTTTTTGGGTCCTGAAGACGTTTCTGCACTCGATTGATAGATAAAATATTTCTCCAAAAATTCAAAAGAAAATCAAATGTAAGCATGCGTTGTAGAATATTATGAACACCACATTTTGTTATTCTCACTTAATTGCTCTAACAATCCTAGCAATTCATACAGGTTTTCATGTACAACTTTTACTGCCTTTTCTCTTGCACTCCACCTTGTTTCTGATTCATGCTTGACAGAGATCTTAAGCTCCTGCTGCAGTTCGTCCCATCGAATTGTTGAATGAGCAAAGAAATTATCAATGGCTTCAATTATACCAAAAAAGGTAATAACTGTTGTTTCTTGACTTGCAGCATGAAAACATGCTAAGTTCAAACTATGGTTGTCACAGTTTATAAACACTGCTTTTGGATTTTTGTTCAGAATTCTTTGTTGAACACTTGACAAACAATAATTTCGCAAATGTGAAGCCATGAGAATTATAAACTCATTTTGGATTTCTGGAGAAAGATAAGATGTTGACGTTTGCTTGTTTTTAACACGATCTAAATGCTCTCTCATTACTGGATCATACTTTGCTAATAACTGCAAAAGTGACAGAAAATTTCCAGGGTTTTCTTTTGAGGTTATCTCCTCAGTATGACTACGAAATGCAAGATTATGAAAAGCTAAATATTGTGTACAATCCAGCAACCGTCGCAGTACATCTCTCCATTTATTTTTTTGTGATGAATTTGCCTTTGCAGCTCTTCATCAATGCCACTTTTATTTTCCAAGCAGCAAATGACTCACGATGACTGTCACTATTTTCAGGGGCATTTAACTTTCCAATTTTTTCCCATTTAGAGAATCCACCCTGTGTTTTGAAAGCAGACCAACTATCGGATGCCATACATGTAGATGAAAAAAGAAGACAACAAAAGCAGTATGCTGCTTTATTAGAGGTGAATACACCAACCAGGAACTATTG